CTAAACCATACACTATACAGCATAGTCTACCAACACTTTTGTAGATCTTAACCATGCATCATGGTGCCTCCTCTCACCTGCATATATGCCCGCGGACTACCGAGATGGGAAAAATCTGCCGAAGTCTTCTCTAGAACTCCTCATACTGTTTGAAAGAATTTTAAACCCGTTGTCGACCTGACATAACCCCATTTTTCGCCTCTTACAACGTATAGAGGTACTGTAGGAGTATTCTGATCCCCTCTCGCAGGAAGAAAACTGCGAACATAGTCAGAACTCATATTGGATATTGTTCAGACACCAAGCCCCCGACAAACTCCCAAATATACCATCCAATATACATTTGTATACGCCTACAGAACGATCGTAAAAACAATGATCTCCTTTACGTTATCTAACTAGATACTTGATATTAGTGTACCTTCCTATTTAAATGATATAATCAAAGTGGATATGACACGAAGATAACAATAACGGTAATAAGATGTTACGAGTACAATGTGTTTTTTTTTGACAGACATATTAATAATGCACTTGTATTTTCTAATACTTATACTTGTAATGGCCGTTATATAATATATAAGTCCACACACTTTAGATACCTGTATCGCTAAATATCGTGATATTTTTATGAAACGAAATTTATTATAATCTCTTGATTATTGTATTATAAACGTTTATGCAAATAGGTATTTAGAAACTCTAATTTGTTTATTTTATTTTTTTGTTTTAGATAATATAAAGATTATAAAATGTATTCTAACCAGTGAAACTATCTGCGTTGAAAGTACCTATTAAGTTGTCGTAAAGCTATATAAATATATAATAATTATAATGATATTATATTATTGTCTAAACCTAATAAAGATTACGTCGAGTTTAAAATATGGTATGCTTTCAGTGACGTAACCAAGACTTTTCAATCCTAAGGAGGACTATACATGTCAAAAACAAACGTATAAATTACATTAAGTAAAATATTAGATATATTTATGACGAAAAATCTTTTTCTTATGATTATTTTGTAAAATACATAATTGTGTAGTAAGCACAATTATTTATAATTAGTTGTGTAATTGTAATGTAACATCAATTAGGTAGACTGAGTAAAGTCCGACCCAAGACGACAACCCTGGTCGGGTTGATTTCTGTACATTTTATTAATTTGTAAAACTCGTACGAAATATATTATTAATACGAATACAAAAGTAAAATAGGTTTTTACTAGTAAACTTGCTGCGATTTTTACGTGTAGCAACTTTGCTGAAAGCTCAAGTTGTCTGAATTGTACTTTAGTGAGGTCATTTTTTGACCTTTTGCTATTTTTTAAACAAAAGCACTTAAGTGGAAAAAAACGTAGGAAAACATAAATTTTCACGATTTCATTATTTTATAAAAACACGGATAACGTCGCAACGTTTTTTACCAGAAAAAAATAGTTAATCAAAAAATCACAAAATACCTTTTTTGTTGCCTTTTTTAATTTCTATTTGGTCTGATAATTTTATTCACAGAGTACCTATACCAAATAAAAATTGCATAAAACCTCTAAAAATTAAAATGACTATAAATAACAAAAAAGGCTAAAATTTTACCATGTCTAGAAAAATAAAATACAATTTTTTTTTCCAAATGTTAAGTTTCTATGGATATTTTTAACTGAATCACAATAAAAAACAAAAATGAAAATAATACATTTCGTAAATTTGCTCGTTCTTTCTACGTTTTTCGGTTTTGTTCAATTATTAGAAAAACTACATGGAAATAAAAAAACTGCTTTCTTATTCATTATAACTAAATTAAAAATTCAACAAAAATAATTTCTTGTCGTTTTCTTACTGAAGCAAAATTTTTGTTAAAAAACACAAAACGTAAAATTTAAAATAATGAAATCGAAACACCGTAAATTATTTGTCGGTTTTCATTTTAAGTTTTTCCCCAGTTCTCTCTAATTAATATCAAAACTACTTAGAAAATATAAAAAATAACCTCTCCGATGCTGCAAGTCCAAAATACTAAAAAAATATTTTTTATCATTTTTTGATTGAAGCAATATTTCTAGGAGAAAACAAAACATGAAAGTATTACAAAAATGTAATCGTAATAATGAAATCGTTACGACGTAAATATTTGTCCATTTATCCGTACATTTTATCCCGGTCTTCCCAATTATTATAAAAACCGTTTAGAAAATCAGAAAACTACCTCTTTAAAATATCACCTAGACATAATTTCCTGTCAGAAAAAGAACTACACTTAAAAAGCGGAACAAGATTTCCGGTAGAAAAATTCTATACGGTTTAAAAAAAAAAAAAATGTCTTAAATAAACATCGTTGCGAAACCAATACATTCCTCGCTCCGCTCAGAATCTAAAAACACGCGTTTTATGATTATATGATTATTACTCGTATCGGTCGTACCTACATGTTGTTCTCGATATTTTATTGTTAATACGGTTTTTTAAACTCGCTTATAATATTAAATTCTCTGCGATGATTAAGAACATACGCGTACTGATACAGTTAAAAATACTTAAAAGAAAATCTGAAACAATTTAAGATAATATTATATTATATAAATTGTGTAACCAAGACTTTTTAATAATATTATCAGCTGCATAAAAGTAACATAATCACGTGCACGCGAGTTATTCTCTGGCGATATATACAGTCGGTGTACAATATAATATTATTATAATATTATTTTATCGAACTGGTTTATGAAACGCTAAATTTTCTAATAATACAGTGCGTTTTTATATGTGTGTGTGTGTGTGTGTTTAAGGGAGAATCAAGAGTACAACAATTCAAATATTTTTTTTTTTTTTTTTTTTTTTTTTTTAAACGATAAATTATTTTTTGTCAGAATTTCAATGTCGTACGTACGAGTGGGTATTCGATAGTAAAATTATGTCTACTAAGAATATAAATTGAATAAGTACTGTTGTGTTATATACGTACTTGTAACCCGGCCACCATGGCTTTGCTCCCGAACCGCTATAAAAAGAAAAAAATAATAAAAAATCGTGATAACCTAATAGCTATAAAAAATAATAATAATATTATACAGGCGGCGATTCTTTTATCGCGAACAAGCCATTATTCATATGTGGCTACAACGATTTTAAGTAAATTCGACTGTGGTTTTTTTTTTTCAACCATGTTTTCAGAACCATTGTCCCGTTTTTAATATGTTCAACATTTTACATTCGTGTTAGTTACCCCTATTCCCGTTATTCCTATTCCGTAAAACGCGTATTAAACAGAACATGCGGTATTTAAAATAATGTTATGCCGTGTAACTATGTAATTGGTTTTTAAGCGAAATAAAACAAATAATATTGGCGATTAAAAAAAAACCTTATATATTTCACACCACGGGTGGGTCATTGTTGTTAGTGGGACATTTCAACAAACGAATACCCAGGCGTACTATGTTTTATCAATTTACATAATATACTCGAAGCGTCGATATACACCAATTCGATCGAAAAAACGATTCTGAATGAAGATCGGTAAACTGATAATAGTTTATTATATGATATCGGTCGTGTATTTCTATCCTTGCAACCAAGGTAATCCAAGGTAACGGTCAAACAGCCCGGATTAATCAAGTAAACTGATGTATCGTCATCATCGGTTACAATAGTTTTCGGAGAAATTTTTACTGTTTCCCGAGAGACCACACTTCGTGAACAAAATAAAAAAAAAAAACAATCTAAATGCTAAATTATTGGGAATTTCATAAAAAATGTTTCTAATAAAAAGAACCGCTGATTAAAAAAACTCGTCTTCGTAAAAACGAATATATAGCTTAATTGAATCGCGCATAAATACCATTTAATTATATTGCGGTTACGTGGCATCTCGTTTCTATAATCGTGGGTTTTTTTTTTTTTTTTCTATCCGGCTGTATATTAGTATAATTTGGTCAATCCATTAATACGGTTCATCGACAGTCATTAATAAAATTGTACAGATAAATCGTAAACTGTATCATTAAAACAATTTTTTTTTCTTTTTTTTTTGTTTCACATAGCAGTGAATGCACGAGTCAAACAATTAAACGATGTATAATAAACACAATAATTATACATAATGTATGGGTTTTTAAACGGAATTTAAAACCGTAAACAAACAAACATATTATGTACTGAAATATATTGAAAAAATTCTAATTGGTTTTTTTGACTATTATACCATTATGCGAACAATTGTGGCATCAATTGTGTCGTATTGTCTAATAATAATGACGTAAGGATCTCGCAGCGTGTACGAACAAAATAAACAGACAAATAGCAAACAATCAAAATAATAATCGTTAGAATATACTGTTCGTCATCTTCAAACCGCGAATCGTTATTCATTAAAAAAATATTTCAACCTATGCTAGATACTTTTTAGATTCTGAGCGTGTTTTTAATTTAATTTTTATTAATATCCAATAATTTGTCCATTATAGTTTTGACAATAACATCCTGCGGTAGCGTCGCCCGTCGCGTCGTACCCATACATTATTAATAAATTATTATATTCGTGGCCGGCTATATTTGTACATTTACTATAGGGGCCGTTATGAGAATTGAATTTAATTGGTGAAATGTCGTTCGACACAATATTTCGTACTATACATTGTTGTTCTGCTGTGCATAGTGGGCCCGTGCGAATACTTTGCACATAGGCGTGTCTAGAATTTATTAACAGACGTGGCAATGGAAAATGACCAATGAAGTCGGCCCCCGTAGGCGTTGATCGAGGGAGACATTTGGGGACTTCAGCCCCCCCCCTCCCCCACGGAATATTTATTTAATGATTGTTGCACACTTGCACCGCAGTCATAACATTATGTAATGCCTCACACTCAAATTTCTCCTAGATTCATTTCGATTTCCGGACAATTGATACATTTTAAATTGTTAATAGGTATTTGATTAACTATAAGCGTAAAACAATTTTTTTTTTTTACAAAATCGTGTTTTACGTCCTCTTTTTCAATAACTTAATACTTGACGTGCTGTAGAAAGTCGAAGACGGTCGGCTTGGACAAGCCAAAAATGGACGGGACTGGTAATCATATAAATGCGGATAGCACCGAAGGAAGATCTGACGCGAAAAATCTCGTTGATCGTGAGAGGCTGATTTCGCTGGTATAACCATAGCCATATGCAGTGGTGCATTTAAGGGGCACGACAGGGGAAATCGCCCCCCCCCCCGAGATATATTTGTTAAACTTATAAGCGTTTCTTAATTTTTTTTTTTTGTTTTTTTCATAGGAAATGTTCGTTTTGTTTTTTGAAGATATTCGTGTTCATAACAGATATCATTATTATGATCACGGTCCACGGGTGATAATATCACCTGCATTTTTCAGCTTCTCCGCACTTAAAAAGGTTTGAATAATTAAATGCATGTGTTAAGTAACAATCGTAAAAATAATAAATAATGGACCAATGATTCAAGTTATGTCAAAACTTCGAAATCGGATAAGACAAGAAACATTGGAATATTGCGTGAAAATAAATAACGAAGGTGAAGAAACCCGCCTCAAGAGTTCAGATGTAAAACGAATTGGTTGCATATGCATTAGGTCCATATAAAAAAAAATATATCAATAATAATGTTTCTAGTTTATATAAAATAAATAATAGTTTTAAATTAAATATTTATATAATATCATGTCCAATGTACTGAATTAATTGTAATAAATAAAAATAAAATAATTTATAATACTAAAATGCGTGATCAATGAAAATCAAAATGACCCCTCCCACCCAAAAAAAAAAAAAAATTGTCTGAATTCAACAATCTACATTCGAATCACTGTCTTGATCCAAATACCGCCCAAAACTAATTTGTGCAATTACAATGTGCAATATTGTGAATACTAACGATTCTGGAAAAATGGGAGGATGGGATCTTTAAATTATGAGGGTTTATATTCGTTTTTTTTTTTTTACAAAAAAAGTAAAAGAGTTTTTACCAAAAAAAAAAAATATATATATACGTTTGTGAAATAATATGAAAAATTTTCAGCTGTTTAATATGTACAGTTAATAAAGTAACTATTTTATTTACATTTAAAATATTATATAATATCAAAAGTTTTTAGTTAAAACCGCAATCACGAAACTGCGTGGCTTATATAATATGCAGCTGGTTTAAGGCTAGGCAGACAGGAAATATGATGAAATAATATCAGTTTATTCAAGGATGATTGTATTGGTTTTACTATAATGTTTATTTTTTTTTTTATATGAACAACATTAATACCAAAATTTCGCTCTGATTTTCAAATGTAACACTTTTTCTGAAATAAAATCTGGCCGGGGTGATATTTTAAAGAGATCAATTTTTGATTTTCTCAAGAGTTTTCATAATAAATAGGAAAATCCGAGAACAATTTATTATTTTCAAATTGTAAATATTACGGTCTTTCAAAACACGTACAACCAAACTCCGCTCAGAATCGTTATAAATTATTAATCATTTCGTACAGATATACATTAAATTTTCCCTCTACCTTCCTAACTTCTCATCCACAACAGTGGCCCACCCGTCGTGAGAAGTATGTTCGCTTGTTTTTTATATTCATTAAAATTATTTCAGTACAAACGATTATACTAGACAGACGATTACCATAATATAGGATAACGTTTTTTATTTTTTTGTTGAATGTATGTATAAGTACGAAATTATCGATCCTACAGCCTGTGACCAAACAGCCAATTTATTGTTATTTATTTCATACACATAATAATTGTATGAATAATTGTTTTTTTTTCAAATAAATTAACAACAGAATGTATGCATACCTATATACGCGCAACGGCACCAGACTATTAATTTTTTACTGCATTAAACATGTTTTTTAATACTTTGGAAGTAATATGATAATGATAACTAATATTTAGTAAGAATGTCTATATCATTATTAATATTCAATAATTTAACAACTATAGATTTTGTTTATGCGATTGTTTTTCTGTTCTTACGGAAAACAGAGTAAGAGAAATTCCAAAAAAAATGATCTACCGGTATTCGGTTGAAAAGCCAACATAAATACCCTTTGTGATTTTTTGATTGGAACAAAATATCTTCTGGTGGAAAACTCGTTCACGGACAGAAAACACATCGTATTATAGTAAATTAGTAAAACCAATATGCACATTTTTCGCTCCACTATATACAAAATCAAAAGCTAAAATTGTCGAACATTAGCGTGCACTCATTAGAAAAGCAATTCAAGTTGTATATAAATTTAAATAATATATTTTGTATAAATGAGTAATAATACTATAAATACAGTGACATAATATTATGTTTAAAGTCTATACATAGGTATACTTTTAGAGGGTGCTAACTGCTAATACACGATCATTCGTTTTCTCAGACTTACAAAGCTGCACGAAATAGTAAACTCGCGTTCAGCAAAACCAAATCTGTGCTGTTCGCATTCACATTAGAGTGAATCGACCTATTATCACACTTAAACTTAAGAACATTCTTTGAATTTGTGCGTTGGTTTTTTTTTTTTTTATCGATTATATTAATTTTTAATTGAGATACGATGAGTACGTGCAATATCAAAATTTAACCTAACCTAACCTCGAGTTTAACAATGAGTCAATTGACTCGTATTAATAAAACTAACATCACAAAATTGGTTCTACTAAACACAAATTGGCTATGTCGTGCGTTTGTAAGACGGAGACGACGAATTAGTGATGAGTGGCGTCCTCTTAAAATATTTCACGTACTTACCTAAACGTGCCTATAACCTATTGAATGTACAAACACATATGTACTAAACATTTTTGAGCATAATATTATAGAGTGAGTATTATTTTTTATAGTTTTAAAACGTAGGAATTATTATTAATTATTATTAATGTTAAACGTCAGTATATCGTACATCAGGGTCATCCAGAAAAAACACCACACACATCTGAAAACTGTGCAGTGCGTGTTCGATTACAATGTTATCTAAAATTGTATTTTATACGTACACACTTAATATTGATACGCGTACATTATATTATTCTAACCTAAAATGTCTGGAGTTTTGTCTGTAGTAGGTAAAATACAATGTGTTCGTTTGAAATCGTAGTATAATATAGATTAGTGTGACAGTTTGGTCTTGGATTTTCTAAAAGATAAACTGCGGCAGTTAGTTAAAATTAACTCGAGCAGGTATCAACGTTATAGCTTAAAATGTCTGGATTTTTGTCTACAGTATAGTGCAATATTGTGCTCGTTTAAAAACGTAATGCAATTATTATTGATTAGTACAGTTCGGTCTTGGATGTCCTGAAAGATAAACTGCGACAGTTAGATAAAATTTATTCGATAATGTATAAAATTGCCTATTGGGCACAATTCTCGTGGCTTTATTTTACGAATATTTTTCAAACATGTAGAACTTACCAAAAAAAAATACCTTAGTTATAAAATATTGAGTTAATTGCTGTAGTTAAAGGCGTTGTCGCACTTAATAATTTACAGCGGATTATTATACGACAAAGGGAAGTCATTAAAAAAAGAAAATTATACATAATTATATTAATTAAGTAAACGCATTGATTTGAAAAAAAAAAAAAAAAAAAACACTCGATTTCTTAAATATATAGTAATGATCTAACAAAAAAACCGCATGATTTCTTTGTTCTAATTTTACCGAATAAAAAATAATTTATTTAACATCTAATTATTATTATCATTCGTTCAATTAAACGTACAAAAATAATTAACGTACCCCGCGGTACCTATGCCCAAAAATCAAGAAAATAAAACAGAATATCTGCCGCTGTATAGTTGTTGTAATTAATAATGTTCATACAGTTATTATTGCCTACGAGTTCATGCCATGCACTCTATACAGTTATCGAATAGTACAGGAGGTACCTATTACGCGTCGATAGAGAAAAAGAATTATAACTCTATCGGTCGATCGATAATATCCGTAGTGTATAATATCTCGCATTTATCAATAACTGTACCATTACCATTATAATATTTCGCACCTATTCGACATTTTTCAATCGACCATGGGTACATTTGGGTATCTAGATGCGGGCAACGACGAGAAATCGTGTTCGCCAAAGTCGCTTGGAAATTTATCAATACCCGTACAACACCGTGTTTAAATCGATATTGTAGATGTGTTTTTAATGAATAGGCATTAAGAATCTATTTGAGATCTATTAGCTATTCAACTAACAAGTCAATAGCCCGTCTATAACAGCTACGGTAATTTCTACATCTGTAAGGATTCGAAAACTATGGAACTAATATGGAACTTTACAGAACAATATTATGCGCGCTACAGGTCAACGGTAGATACCCGATAATCTTAACCTGGAGGTAATGTAGATTTGATTTCACTTTTGCCATTGTACCTTGTTAGGTACTATGTTACTGGTGTATTTATTTTATTATTTTTTTTTTTTTTTTATTAGTACCCATAATAGGTACTGAAAAAAAGTATTATACAAAAGTATATGTATACATAATCCTTATTATTAGGTTGTTAATCACTTATTAGTTAACCATCATACTTGTGGTAAACACTATATTAGAAAAATCGTATTATAATACGAAAGAAAAAAAAATGAATAATAATAATAGTAAAAACATTATGTTTTAAACTTCCATATTTAAGCAGTATAAAAAAAAATAAAAAACCGTTTAAAATACTGTTTTTATGAAAAACTTGTTTTTAACTACTCTGCGATATAATCCGACATAATCCGTACAATCTTATATTATCTCACCCGTATAATATTGACCCGCGCCCCGCGCGAATCATTTAATTAACCATTTACGTTAATATGAGTAAATATATTATTGTACCTAATGATAAGTCTAACGAAACAAAAAAACGATGAAAGGTTTTTTTTTTTTTTTCATATATTTAATCGTAACTAGAAAACTGAATCCGTCGATAAATAAAGATTCGGTTTTTTTTTTTTGATGTTTTTAATTATTTTAACGAAAGTTAAAAAAAAAATTGTAAAAACAAAAAAAAAAACGATTGCGCGTAATACCTACCTGCCGATACACGTTACAGAATAAACGTGTCGGTTCGGTGAATCTTTCCGCAAAATAATATAGTTTCTAGTATTAAATACAATACCTATTTATATAAATCGAAACCGTTTTTGTACCCATTTTTTTTATAGCACGCGACACGCGTTGCGATTGCGGTCTGGTAAAAAATAAGTTGCTCGACAATACTTTTATATTAGGTAGGTAGGTATCCGAAGTCGTTTTCGAACCGAACGCTGCTGCACAGCAACACTGCTCGCGAACGCGGCGCGTCCGAATTTGACCTATTTATTTGTTTATTTCGTTGTTGTTAATCTTTAATCGAAAATCGCAATGCCGGTACTGCAGCGGTTGATAGTATTCACAGCCGGCGAGTGTATACATTTTTTTGTATTGTTTTTTTTTTTTTTTTTTTTGGCTCTCGTTAACTATACGAAAATACGCTATATATTTTATTAAAATTGATCGAGGAACCATATTATTATTATATACAGGACTCGCGTACGGAAACCGCCCCCCAGTTCACGCCCCATTTGACTTTTCACGCGG